CCTTCCCCGCCGCCCGCACCTGCGCCTGCGCCGCCTGCGCCTCCCCGCGGCCCCGGCCTCTGGAGGCCCTGGTAGCCCCCTCGCCAGGCCACGGACCCCGCTGACTGCAAGAGACCGAGAGCGCCAGGCAGACTGAGGAAACTCGTGGTGCCGGCTGCTCTTTCCGCACGGGGGACCAGCTCAGCACCCACCCCCAGGCTGGAACCCGGATGTTTGTGATCTGTGTGGCCGACTGAAGGCGGTGGGGGCTCAGCTCGAGGAAATAAGGAGAGCAACCCAACCTCTTGCGTGTGTCTGGGCTGGAGAACAGGGCAGGGGGCTGCAGCGGGAGGAAGGAGCTCCCCTCCTCAGCTGCTGGAAGGGGCTCTAGAACTGGGCCCCAGCACTGGCACCAGCCCAAAGGCTGCAACAGGAGCTCACCGGAGCCGGGTGCAGCCCTCTATTCTGACTGGTCGCTGCCTCCTTACAGCTCAGCCTGGGCACCTCTGGACACGCAAGAGCAATGGCCTGAGGAGCTCTGCGGGCTGGGCAGCCATCACCCCCACTCCTGGGCTCTCCTGTCCTGCGCTTGCATTGATAGGGACAGGGTGCAGCCAGGGCTAGGACTCTGTGTTGCTGGGGGTGAAGGCATGGTAAGATGGCCTTGGGAAGGACTTATTTCCCCAAGCATTCAGTGACCACCTATGTACCACACACCAGTCTAGGGGGCCTTGGGGTGTGCGGAAGGGGTGGGATGAGAAGGAGGGTGCCCTGTGGCCTCAAGGAAGCTTGAGTCAGTGCCAGTGTGAGGTGAGCAGGCCTATGTCCTGGAGCGGCAGAAATTCCATTTACTTGCAGATAACAGCAAGTAAAGGAACAGGAAACACCTTTCCTGTCAGGACAGGTTACCGGCAGCCACTTGTTTCTCAGACTTCTTTTCCCTCTGCCCAGAAGCAAGCGGAGTCTGAGGAGACTCAGGGAAGGGCGTGTAGCCCCCAGGCTTGGGTGCCCAGGAGAAGGCAGGGGCACCTGCGGCTCCTGATTCACGGGGCTTCGCTGAGCACTCCAGGGAGGTTGGGACTCCCAACAGTCCCCAGTCCAACATCCTGAGCAAGGGACCAGGGCACTAGAGACAAGAGGAACTGATGGGGTGGGGGTGTTCACCAGATCCAAGTATGTCACAAAAACCCCTGGTGACCTGGGCACTGATTTGGGTGGCCAGATGTGGGACGCTGTGGGCGTTATCGAAGGAGTCAATGTTAAGACAGCAGGGGAGCCCCCAGCAAGGTGTGCTGTCCTTTGTCCTCGCAGACCCAGCTGGCTGGACTGTAAGCTCCTGGAGGGCAGGGCTAGGGCTGAGCCTACTTCTGTGTCCCCACGGAACTCAGCACATGGTAGCTGCTCAATAAATATCGTGAGCTAACAAACAGGTGATGTCGCTGGACCATAGCTGTATTGAACCCTTTTGCCACAACTCCCACCCCCAGGCCCTAATGTCACTTTGAAACTCTTTTCCACCAAAGCCTGTGTATCCGGAGGACAAATGTGGGGGAGGGTGGGGAGAGCAGAGAGAGCAGTGTCTGCTTGCTTCCTTGCTTCCCCCATTCCTGAGAATGTGAGCCTGCTCTCCTGAGCTGCCTGGAGCAAGTGGGGGAGGGACAGGTAACCTACACGCCCACACCCACCACAGAAGGTCAAGTTTCCTCTCTGGGTGAAGGACTCCGCCTTGGGCACACACTGAGCAGGCTCCTTTTTTCCCTAATAAATAAGAGCTTTCCATACAGGTTTGAACTCTGTAAGAACTGATCCACCAGAGGCCCCTTTCCTCCTTTGGGTCATATTTGCCTCTTCTTGCTTCTGAGCCCCTGACTCCAATCAAGCTGTATTACAAGCAGTCAGGGAGGATGGGAGTGTAGACAGGGCAGTGACTCAGGATCAGGCGTTCCAGGGAACCTGAACCAGGGGGCCCCCCGGGCCCTGGCAGGGAGCTGAGGCATGCCCAGGTGGGTGAGGTTCTGGGCTGGCAGCGAGAAGCCGGTTTCCCAGCAGGGATGGGCAAAGAGCTGCCCAGAAGTTCTGAGCTGGGCTTATGAAATAGGGAGAACACCGGCCTCCTCCACGGGACGCCTGAAAGCGCCTCCCCAGGTGTCCTGAAGGCGAGTCTAGGGCAGTGCAGGCTTTTTCTATGTGGGAGGGAGGCTGCCTCACTCGGGGGCATTTCGTGAGCTTCAACAAGGCCCACATTGTGCCCTTTGGCCAGCTCTTATGATGCCCTCTGCTCTGGTCCCATGACTGAATCTAACTCTCGAACTCTGTCTGGTTATCACGCTTGGTTGGAGAAAAGGCTCCTGTGTCTCTCATAAACCTGTGGGTGAAATGATCCAATGACCAGAGCACTGAGCTGTCTGGGAAACTCAGGCTGGGGCCAAACCCCACGTGTCCCCCCGGCGCCAGTTAATTTGGAAAGGTCAAATCTCAGCTTCCATGAGTGAGGATAAAGAGCAGCTTGCCAAGGAGGACTCCTTTAATAAACATTTGCAAATTGCTCTTCTCTGCCTGTGACTACCAGACTCTGCCAATGAGTCTCCCACTTGTTTCCCTGTAATAGGATCAGAAGGAACATAGCCTGTGGGGAATGTCTGGAAAAATGTGCAGCTCTGCAGAACCCCCCTCCCCATCATGCTTTGGGATGACCACGCTGGAGACCGCGATGGGACAGAGGGAGCTTCCCCATCATGTGCAGCTACCTCCTACTTGAAACATCAACATGCGGCCGTATTTACTTATTAAAAACACACCAGGTTGCTATAGATGTCCCAGAGAAGAGCTAACCCAGCCAATGATGTTTTTTCCCTGGGTTTTACTTCGTGCCTGGCTGCTTACCAGTGTGGCTGTGTCTCAGGGTACTGACCGAGTACCTGGGTGTGCGTGTGTGTGTGTGCGTGTGCGTGTGTGTGTGCATGTGTGTCCCTGCACAGCCAGGTGACTGCCCTGCAGGGAGCTGCCTGGGCATGTGTTATGGAGGAGAAGGCTGCCACCCACTGAGGGTTCCCAGTGAGCAACTAGTTTCACTCTGGGTTTTGAGAGGGCCTGGCAAAGCCCCAGGCGCTTAAGGCAGCTATAATGAAACTTTGAATGGTTTCAGGGGCGTGAGAAAGGCACTTAATGGGCACGCCCAACGTGCACGTGTGGTGTCTTGTCACCGAGATCCATTGCAGGGCAGGAGGGAGCAGGGGTCCAGTGGCTGGTCACAGGAGCCTGCTTTGGGAGGCAGGGTTCCCTGGCCTGCGGGTTAAGAAAGGAGATTCCAAGCTGAATGTGTGCCCACTGCTGGTTCTCTTGGTGGAGGCTGGGTCCAGAGCCACCTGCCATGATGTTTGGTATATTACAAACCTGAGGGAGAATGGAGCCAAGTTCTTAAAGAACAAAGAACCACTCTAGACCTCAGAAATCAAAGGCAGATCCAGGTTTTGTGTGGATACATTCTAATATAAAATTATGAATACAGACTTGGTGTGAAAATAAATATTCAGAGTGAAAAAGTAAGTCACATCAAGCTAGTGGTGCTTGCAGATTGATGTCCATGCTTTTGGTTTCTCTTTAAGCAATTCATCAGACACACTTCCTGGTGACAACCCTGGCCTTTCCTCTGTTCCAGAACATTCTACCACGTTATGCCCTTGCTTGGGAGCAGATCCGAGCTTAAGCTTCATCAGTCTCCTGGTAAATTCAGAATGGACTCTCAATGCTCAAAATTTAAGAGTCCAGAATGCTCAAATGACAGTAACAAGGTAAATGCCTTCCATTTGCTGCACCCATTCATTACAGGCTATTATATTACAGGATATATATTTACACAAACATTTACTGCATTTATGACACTTTTTTTCTTTACCTCTTTCTGGGAAGCTTGTGAAAAGCAGATTTCCAGGTCCCACCTCCGAGGGTTCTGATTCCCTGTGTCTGAGTCGATAGCCTCACCATACACCTGAGGCCAGGTTAGTCTGCTCTAACAAAGACACCGCCTCTGAGGATGGTGGGTGCCAAGGGCTGGGGGAAGGGAAGAGGGAGGTAGTGTTCAGTGGAGACAAAGATCCACTTTTCAAGATAAAGAGTCTTGGGGATAGGTGGTGTTGGTGATTACCTTAATAAGGTGAATGTACTTAATGCCACTGAACTGCACACTTACAAATGGTTAAGATGGTAAATATTATGTGTATTTTACCACCAAAAAAGAAGAAGAAGGAGGAGGAGGAGGAGGGAAGGGGGACAAGGAGGAGAAGAAGAAGGAGGAGGCAGAGAAGGAGAAGAAAAGAAGGAAGAAGAAGAAGAATAAATGAAAAGAGACCATATCTGCAATTGGGGCTACTACTTGATTAAGTTTGCAGTAGGTTGTTCTAGAGGATCCATGGTTTTCATAGTAAGTAGACTGGTCAATTAAATTAAGCTACGATAAATGGTGTGCCTGGCTGCCTCAGTCGGTAGAGCATGTGACTCTTGATCTCAGGGTTGTGAGTTTGAGCCCCACGTTGGGCAGAGAGATAAATTAAGCTATGATGCATCTTCTAGGTCTTTTAAGAGTGTCATAAATTTTTGCCACTTTGGGGATCTAGACTGTTTTGATTTACTATCCTTGTTGGGGGCAGAGTTTTGCACTTTTTTCTTTTTTTTTTTTTTTGACCATTTTTAAAAATTGAAGTATAATTGACATACGGTATTGTACTAGTTTCAGGTGCACAGTATATGATACAACAATTCTATATACTCCTCAGTGCTCATCTTGATAAGTGTCTTAATCTCCTTTATCTATTTCACCCCTACCCCACCCACCTCCTCTCTGACAACCACCAGTTTGTTCTCTGTATTTAG